TGTGCTGGTTGATGCAACTATTGTAGCGGATGTAATTGTGCTGGTTGCTGTAACTACGGTGGTCGACGGAATTGTTGTGGCGGATGCAACTGTAGTAGTGGAATTGATAGACCTAAAAAAAAAATCATTTTAATACTCGTATCGATAAGGATTTGACTATCGAACAGTGGAAAGAACAAGACTGAAGAAGGTTATTTTCCTAATTCCGAAATATTTTAAATTTTTTGTATTGTAATCGGTTTAGTGGTAGATCTGAACAGTATGAAAAATGTTTATTTTGTAATATGCTTTCATCAATTTTTCAAGTTATAACGTACTCATTTATGCGAACGACTATTATTTTGTACAGAAAGTTTAAAGATTACTACTCGTACTAAAAGAAGTCTGTCCTAGTTTAACTCTATATCATAAATATTCTAATATAAAATATAAGCTTACCTATTGTACATATTAGTCAACGAGGAAGTGTATGCATGCGTAATACTTGTACTAGAAATAGTGGTGGTACTTTGAAATGTTTGTGGATATATATAAGGTGTATAATTATATGAGATTGAAGTAGCAAAACCAACTCGATTTTGATTAATATCAAAAATAGAATAAAATCGTGAAAGAAAATAATCACCAAGAATCCAGATATTATTCAATGGCGAATAATTAAAAACACTGTAGCAAACAAAATTTTGACCATTCTGAAATATTAAAAAATATTGAAGTACCGAAAGTGTAAACGTTTGACCACTAATTGTAAATGTAACATTTGGAAAACCTTGTTGAGTACGAGTTGAACATGATACTCGATACTAAATACATAATGTTATTCAACATGTACATTTATTTTTGATAAAACTATATAAATATATATATCTTACCCATCCTGAACTACGTTCGTAAGTAGCACCTAATGCTGCATTTAATGCACGAATATTGCTGGTTGGTCCAAGAATTAAAGTTGTTCCAGTATCAGCAATAGCACTACAGTTCGATGAGCAAATTGAAATATTGCCAACAGTGATCCTAAAATATAGAAATCGTTATGAATCCATTTCTATTTTAATTTTATATTACCTATTCATATTAAATTGCCAATAACCTTGTACACTAACATTGACATAAGTAATTGCTCCTGTATATTTGCTCGTATCTGCACCACCAAAAATCAATTCACCACCAGGTGTTGCTGATGAATCTCTAAATAAAATTTTTTATTATTAAATATTCAATAATAGCAATTATTTATAACTTACGGATTAAAATAAAAACTAAATATCGGTTGTGGAATTAAATTTTGCATCCACATATTATAAAATAAAGGTGTTTCACCACCTGATGTATAATCCGGATATGCTAATCCTAAAATACCATCTTCAGGGGCATCGAAACCCGACATATTCAATACTTCGGCAAAAAGTTGATTAGTCACAGTAAGACCATTGATCTAATTGAATATTAATTAATTTAAATATTATTTCGAATCTATATATATATATAAACTTACTGTAACAACATCATTATCAAAATAACCTTCTGCATAGGATTCATCACCATAGGTAATAAGGAAATAATCACCATCTACTTGATATGTACTAGACGCATTCGAATTATATCGATTGTGGTTATCTGATTATAGATTTAGAATAAAGAATAAAAAATTATGAATAAAACTTACTACATAAGGAAGAACATTTAATTGATGGAACCCATAGATCTGATGAACCAGTATCGAAATCGATGTAAAAATTCTGTGATGGTGAACCAATACCTATACTTCCAAGCCAATAATCCTAATAAAAAAAACTCATTTAGTTTCATTTTACAATATTTTCTATTTAATACATACATTCATTTCACTGGTAAGAATTTCATTGACTGATACTGTTTTACTCGACAAACTTGCTATACTTGAATCTTTCTTATTCAACGATGTTGCACGTTGACAATTGATTCTAAAAAAATTCATTTATATTAGAAAACAATACAGAATAATTTTATATGAGAATGTGGGTAGGCGATTTGAAAATGTCTTTCATCGCGAATATTAGTTTTAATTTACCTTGGTAAGTCGTCAGCTTTGATGGATATATTTATAATATTAAGTATCAAGAGAATTTTTACAAATAGCCGAAACATTATTGACATCTTCAAAACAAACTGAAGAAAATAAACTTCCAGTCAGTATATATATATACATGGTTACTAAGAAATGCGTAAACATTTATATATTCTCGAGAAAATTTAATTTGACTCTTTGAAAAACAATTACTGTTGCGCAGTTGTAAAATAATTTTTTTTAATTAGATAATGTAATGGAAGGCATGTTGATGCAGAAACAATGTATATACTTTATCTTGTGAATTGTGATAATAAAAAACTATTTCGAAATACTTGACAATATATTCATGATTTAACAAAACTGATTTGATAAATTTTTCAAATATAACATTTTTCTGAGATACTCAAATTGAGAATTTTTTTCCAAAGAAAAATATAAAATTTGATTATTGAAATGTTATGCTGGAAAAAACTACTTACCATTAACCATGTGTTTTGTTGTTCACAAAAGTCATTATTTTTCAGATGATGAATAATATCATTACAACTAAAAGTGTTTATGATGATTAATAGTTTCCATTGGACATATTTAAATAGAAATACTTCACTCATATTGAATTAAAAAAAAAGGTACACCTCTTCTGAATATGTTAAACTTTTGTTTATATAAAAATACTAGAAGATAACTAAATCTGAATTCTATAACTTCAAATCATAAAATTTAATTAATATACAAGTAACGCTCGTCTCTTTCTCATAGAATCGATGTGTCTTCACTATCAGTAAACTATTTATTCAAACAATTTCAAAAACCGACTTCAGATTTGCGTTCCTCGATTTCGGTAACCGTTCGATCAACTCTCATAAAAAATATATTTTTTGTAAAAAAGTGATCGTTTGTCTAAAAAAATGATCCTTAAAAAAATTTAAAAAACTAACATCAGATTCCTGTTCCTCTTCTGTCAAAGTTTAAGGATCCCAATCGTTTCGATTGCTGGATTAGTCTTCGACTACGCAGTGAAATGCGGGCACACAAGCAAGTACGGGAACAATCTAAATTATTATTTTCATCATTACTAACAATTAAATTAACAGACAAATATTTACACTAAATCTCATAGTGAACTGATGTTTCATTTTGAATATTTCAATTAGAACCATTTATAATGCAATCAATTTTTTCCCGATTTTAGATAATTTTTATGGAAAGATGTATTTTTGATCACCAAATTAATTAGCACGTAGTGAGCGAGTTCATTTTATGAATTTTAGATAATACATCTATGATAGATCATATACTTGTCGTAAAGGTTGTTTAATCAATGTAACAAGATTGCATAAAAAAAAGAATAATTCATCTCGATCTGAATGATCGAATTAACTAAAAATACTTTTAAAGTTTCAGGCTGTCCAAAAAAAGTTCGCACGGCATGGTTACCATGATTTCTTATTAACATTATTTGTTTATTTTTGTGTCCATTTTGTGTGTAATATTATCTTTATTATATGCGATTGTTATTAATGTACTATCTATTTATTAATAATAAATTTGGTGATCATTTGTATATTTTTTTGGTGATCATTTCACACCAAAATAATTTGGTGATCATTTGTATATTTTTTGGTGATCATTTCACTTTGACTCCGACGGAGTCGGAATCGGGTTTCTGAGAGCAGTGCAGTTCTCTAGTCCAGACGCATTTGATTATTTTTCCAAATAGAACAAGGCTTGCGTCTCGAACACGTTCAAGTACGAGACGCATTTTCTCTACGTTTTATAATTGCATAAATCTAATCAATCTTTTTCTTGAAAGACTGTAATCAATGGATGAAGATGAAATAATTAATTACATGAGTGAGTTTTATTGATAAAAAGATATTAACATATTAAACCATCTTTTTAAGTCAACAACTCAATTTATCATGTCAGGTTCATTCAATTCAAATCGACAGTGATACTAATAATGGCATATAGCTGATTTGTTTTTCTTCTGTAAATATTTTTATCACATAAGATTAAGTTTATTCTTTTTCTAAATAACCTTTAACTATAATGCAAAATTTTAAAAATTTTTTTCTTTTTCAGTAACTTCATTTGTTACTTTTCTTGTGAAACAGATTCTATCTTTATATTTTTCTTAGTACAGTACAAAAGGCGAGCTTTTTTGTCATGTAATGACTTCAAGTTTAATGGATGTTTGTAGATTATTGTTTTTTTATTATTTTCCTACTGAAGAGAAGAAAAGAAGAGAAGAGCTTCATTTTTGTTTTCATAGTTAATAAAATGATCTCGCTTTACTTTCTGATAATAGCACTGCTTATTACCTATTCTATCATTCATTATCACTTTTGATCTAATTGTTGTCTATTCATATCATCATTTTTTCTTTTAGTTTTATTCATCTCTTGCAATTCTGAGTGTCCATATCATGTAGTAGATGCGTACTCTTTAAGATAATAAGTAATCAGTTGGTAGATATTATTTTATTACATGTTAAGATAAGAGCTTGATTGAACTCAACTACTAATACCACATAATATTTGTTTTTTTGTTATGTTTATTACGATACGTATCAGTAACACCATTGCTGTTTTATATTTATATTCTTTCAGCTAGTTGTTCTCTAAATTATCTCTAGTTTACTTGACATTACAGAAGAAGTTAGACAATCTATTCGAAACGAGATTCAATATTATCTAAGGAATAAAGGTTTAAGATTTCTGCAAGATAACATTCTCAGATTGTGAAAATCTTGGGTTAACCGTGATTCTTCTGCTTCGTTTCTTTTTTCTTCCTATTGAACGAACATCCTTTTTGGTTCTTGAAGAACTATTGAATTTTAGGTGAAATCATACTTCCCTCTATTTATAAGTATACTCTGGTTTTTACTATCAAACATATTGAGTGTTTTCGTTGAGTCTACAAGTTTGAATATTTATCAAAGTTAGTGTCTTTAAATTAATTATTAGCTAGAGAGAGAATCAATACAAAAAAAAATGCAGTATCATCTAATCAAGTATATTTCAGTGTAGTAAAATCCAACTTTTAAAGTAAAACTTCATATTTTGTGGATAGATAATATGATTATTAAAAAAATGAGTCGACTATCCGAACCAGCAATTTGTACCAGTTGTATCGCTGTTGATTACACCATTAACAATCTAGAAGCATACAAAATCTTCTGGATTTTTGATGGTGCATTGAATTACTGTCGTCATGAAGTTAACATTAAACGTGTGTTTCAAAACTCAATGTGTACGAAATGAATAATTATGATATATTTAGCATACTGAATAGTATTCATTAAACTGTTTTCCTTCTTTTATCTCCATATAGCTGATTATAATGAAAGGCATACATTTATGAATAGGATAAAACTTCAAAATGAACTTTGGATATGATTTTATAATAGAAACTGATTATTATCTATAGTCGTCTCCGCTACTAATGAATCTTGAAAAGAGATTTTTTATTTAGAAATAATATTCTAACAGAGTCAAAAGAACTGCATCATATACTTTTTTTTACAATCTTACATTAATCTCTAGTGTTATTTTGTCTAGTTCATATAATCAGTTATCTATTTTTCTGGCTCTTATTTAACTTTTTTTCTCACGTAAAAGTCTGAAGAATATGGCATTGACGATTCTACCGCTTATTCAGCGAAATATGACACGATATGGTATGACTACATATCTTGTAGTAGGTATTCTAGGTAATATTTTTAACTGCATAATGTTTACCCGGCATTCATACCGTCGTACGCCTAGTTCTATTTATCTACTTTTTCTATCGATTTGTGGTTTTATTTATTTACCGTGGTCAACTGTTCCAATCATTTATGCACTTGACCACATTGATCCTCAGACACAGTCGATAGTCATTTGCAAAACACGACTTTACATTACTCACACGCTCGGACTATTTATTCGTTATTGTCTCGTATTTGCTAGTGCTGATCGATTTTTTGTTACACGACCCAATGTTCGTATTCGATCATTAAGTTCGGTGCTATTAGCAATAAAACTTATTGTGATTATGTGTATAATATGCTCACTAATAGCCATACATCTACCTATTCTAATGAATATAAGAGATGGTGTCTGTGGTATGTTTGGTATATACACGTTCATTTATGCAATTTATCAAACCTTTGTAATTGGCATTATACCACCAGTTTTAATGAGCACCTTTAGTTTTCTTACCATTCGTAGTCTTCAAGAACGACATCACGATGCTCAAGTACGTACAAGGCAACGAGATCGATATCTGACACGTATGGTAACTGCTGAAGTTATCGCAAGCATTTTTATATCAATTCCTTATTCAGCAAATCTTATTTACACTGCATTTACATATAATATTGTGAATAGAAGTCCTCAACGAGTTGAAATTGAATCATTCGTTGCTTTCTTCAGTATATTTCTCCTTTATCTCATAAGTGTTGTTCCTTTTTATTTGTATATCTCAACATCGAAAACATTTCGAAACCAATTCATCAATTTATTCGTTAATTTTTGGTATAAGTACATCATACGAAGAGTGCGAATTGTTCCACATAATGACCTGATTACTATAGCACCAAATAATGGACAAACGATTCGTGTCAGACAATAAAAAAATGTATTGAACTAACAAAGACACAATAATCTAATACTGTTGTATTACTTGTAAACTATTATATTTTGAATTCTTCTTTTTATATGTTGTGACTTATAAAATAAATCATTTAGTACATAGAGTGAACAAAATATATAGAATTATAGATCTGACTAAGTAATACTGTATATATAGTAAATTCTACCTATATCCACATCTGCATCAATGAAATAAATTTGAATAAATCAATCATTGGTTTAACCTACGTCGGACAGGACTTTATATTTGAAAAAAAAACAATGCACAATACATTTGTAATATGAAAGTGTTTTTCATCATAGTTGAACATTTATCACTACCATGACGATGGCGGAAGTAATAATATAATGAATAATTAGATAGATTGTCATAAAAGAATTTATCTTCAAAATCATCAAAGAAAAACCATGATTATTTACGAATAGGTAAATGAACGAAAAGAAGTATGTCTTTATCGTCTACAATCCATTAAATTTTACAACAACTGTCTTATTAATTATTTTCCAAAAGTAATATTTCTCGAATATTATATAATTTAGTTCTTTTTTTCATATGTTTATCAACTATCATACACTGAATATTAGTAATGTTTCAAATAATATTAACTTCTCATCTGAAAAATCCTATTAGCATGATAAATCTGTAAATATTTTAATTTTGAAATATGCGACTAAAGCAAATATGTTTCTGTGTAATCTTCTTCATTTGGAAAAGTGACATAATGCATTTTAATGCAACTATTTTTAGTATATTTTTCTTAAGTTGTGGCAATACACGAAATAACAAAAGTGAAGAAAATTCTCGCTATTATCATTAAAGACGAACACATTTCTTCTATACATTTTCGATAATTCATTTCTGAAAAAATGTTTTCAAATGTAAAAGAAAACAAGATTTTCCTTTTTTTTAAATTATTTGTATTGATCATTAATTTGTAAAATGATCAGTAGATTCCAAATGATACTGTTGGTCTTTACATAGGAAAAATATTTATAATATGTTCGAATAAAATGTATAATTCCAAAAATATACATGATCATTTTAACAAATTCATGAAACTAATAAACTAGAAATATTTGTATTGTATGAAGAGAATTATTGCAATATATATAAAACTAGCGACATTTTTGTAAATTCCAAATTTTTGATGTATAATTATTTTAAGATACATTTATGAACTAACAAAAATATTTCTTTAGAATGAGAAGTATACTATAGATATGAAACTAAATTAAGAAATATTATAGATATTTTTACTTAGCAACATCAAGTCTATTTCACTTTTGATTGGTGTAGTGTACTGTTACATCATTAAGGTAAAAACGAAACAAAATAGTATATACAATCGAAGAAAAACTAAACACGCATGGCTGAGTGCACGTAGAAACAGTGAAATATAACGATTATTAAATATAAGTAAGTTAATTATATGAATTGATCTGAAACAATGTCACCCGGAAGAAGAAGTAGCATGACTAATTTCTACTAAAATATCGATTCGTTGATATATTCCTATGATTTTTAACATTTGTTTATTTATTTTAATTAATGATCACAGATAATGAAGTAATATAGATACAACAAAATAAACATTTTTCGCGTTGCCTATCGCGACACTGAAAAACCAAAATGAAGGTCATCTATGATACCCCGAACTATGTGTAGACGTGCGATCGCTGACTAAAAATATTTCTACTATTTTACAAGTTTATTGCTTTTCTAAAGTTATAGTAAAGTAACATGAGTAAAAAGACGATTAAATATGAAATATATTCAATAGAAACGAATTTTATTTGTTTCAAGATTTCTCATTTTTCAAATGGCAATTAGAAAAACAATAGTTCGTACTGAATCACTTTCAACAGATCGTGTACATGGTTATTTTGATGATGATATAGTCACATGTCCCATCTGTACAAATATTCTTTCGAAACCTGTAACTTGTAAAACATGTGAAAATTCATTCTGTTTAAAATGTATTCGTTTATGGCTTAATGAAAAACCAAATTCATGTCCATTCAATTGTCATTTTCAAGAACGAAAGCCTCCACCAATTCTTATTAAATTATTATCAAAATTGAAATTAAATTGTCAATATAACTTAAATGGTTGCACAATTTTAATACCTTATGAAGCATTAGAAAAGCATGAACTACATGAATGTTTATTTCGATTAACACAATGTTCTAATTGTTCAAAAGAGATGCTATACAATGAACTTGAAGATCATCAAAATAATGATTGTTTACCAAAACAATTAACATGTTTAATATGTGATACCATGTATTATCAGAAAGAAGGACATGAATACATAGATTGTTTACAAAAGCAAGTACAGATTATGGATGCAGCATCGAGATCACCTGGCAAAAAACCACCGAGCCAACATCCATTTGTTAAAAGACTTCGTTTGTTACATGCAAGAGAACAGACAAATGAAAATTATGCACAAAGAATA